TTCTCTCGAGAGCACACATTAAGTGTCTACTCCAATTATAAGCCTGAGCAAGGGTTTCGCAGTTAATTTCGATTCCTTAGTAGCGAAGAAAGTTAGACTAAGAGGTACGATCTATGCATATTTCAATATATTCTTTATAATCAATCATGGATTGTACATTTTACCCAAATTAAAGTATCCTCGCTGAAGTGATGGTCATCTCTCGGTTAAAAATGTAATTCAACAAATAATGAACTGTCATGCAACAAATAGAAATGAACTCGATTTCACCTTACACGGAAATCCGAAACAACAAAGAAAGACAAAACAGTCAAGTCGACAGCACGCTAGATATTCCCTAACGCAAATTAGTGATGTGGCTGCCATGTGGCTGCCATGGGCGACTAACTCTCAGCAAATCAATCAGAGAGTTTTTAACGCGACTTTATAATATATTTAATCTTAAAAAATCCTGACACAAGTTGGTATTGATCTGATCGGATCGGTTAAAAATGCAAACAAATTAGCGTGCGAATTCTTATTACAATTTGAATTAAGGTAAATACGCCTAAAACTAAATACGCTCAGGAAAACTACGGCGAAAATAACCACGAAAACTTACATTTGTTGCGATGCTGTTGAATTACTGCCTAACGGCGAAGAAGCTGCACGACGTGCGATACAGTGAAATATAATTTCTGCTTAGCAAGCGGACTTACTGAGTAAACTGAACAAACTTCGATGAACAATACGGTCTAAAGACATGCAACGTTACACAAAAAGTTACGAAATGTTACCGGCATAGTGCGTGCAAAATTCAACTGTAATTAGTGATGTTTGCACAAGAACAATAAACAAAAAGGAAAAAAAAAAAAAGATTAAGGCGTTTGTGATCTACTTCAGTGAAAGTGTTTTTCATATACTCGTCATCTTTCGGTTGAGTTTGTAATCCAGCAATTACTTTAAGTATTCGCAAGAAATAGAATTGAACTCGATTTTACCTTACACGGAAGTCCGAGACGATAAAGAGAGCGAAACAGTAAAGTCGATGGCACGTTAGATATTTCTTATCGCAAACTAGTTACCACAACGCAAAGGAATTTGAATACACTTATCATCTTTCGGTTGTATAGGTAATTCAGCGATTACTTTGCGATTTCGCGAGAAGAGGATCTGAAATCGATTGTATTTCACGAGGAAGTATTAAAAGATAACAAAGGGATGACAGATATTCTTTAACGCGAAATAGAACCGAGGTGCGAGATATTTTTGTTCGTCCTCCGGATGAATAACAGAGCACTTAATTTCTGACCCCTCGGGAAACAGTTAATTTTGTTTTTCTTTCAAGTCTCCATGTTTCCCTCTACTTCGTCACGGGGAAAAGTGGGGCTCTCGGGAAAACAAAACCAACTGCTTCCGCTTCCATTTGGTGTATATTGTATAAAACTTAGGGGGGCATTGGCAGTTTATTTTAATTCCTTACCAGCAAAGGTAACAGATCTAGAGAGGCATGATCCATGTATATTTTTTATAAATTCCTTATAATGGTGCAAGGATTGCACATTCTAGGTACATTGAGGTCCTCTCGCTCCACTGATGATCGTTTTTCTGTTGAACATGTCATTCAGCGATTAGTTTAGGACTTCACAACAAATAGAGATCAGATCGGTTTACAAGTATATACACGGAAGTCTGAAACGGCAGGGTTGCGCAAAAACAATGCTTGACATTATAGTAAGGTTACTCCTACACTGAGGTTTCTCTTTCTGAAGACTTTTTGTGTTTTTCAAGCTTCATTAACGTACCTTCCGTTACGTAAGAGATTCGACATCGAGAATTTTTAAGCAGAAACGTGACTTGGTAAGGGTTGATTTGCAAATCAGGACTCGCCTCACAATCTTAACCTGAACCTAGTATTTATTTTTCATTCATCTCTTAGTATAGGTAATCACATGATTTTACCGGAGTGGAATTTGGAATAAATAAGCACGGGTAACTTTTTTCAAAGATTAACAAAATTGCACGAGCCCGCAGAGCGAGTGCAATTTGTGGTCTTTGAAAAAATTTAAAAAGTACTTGTGGACTAGTGGTGTTTAGAGAAGGGAATTGCTTTTATTTTAGGTGTAGAAGATCCAAGTCCCTGAGGTAACATCGGCTATTACGATGGAAACACTATCCTTTTTCAGGTCCTTCTCTGAATCTGAAAACTCCTGGCCCAAACCGCTTCCGTCGTACAACTTGATGGACATGATGGATCAAACCTGGAATAGATTGACATGGAAATAACAAAACAAATGTAAATGAAATTATTATGATTGGTTACTTCGCATTAATCACTTTAAATTCCATCAATAAAGGCAATGAAAATCTCGAGAAATGAGCGGTTGAAGAAGGCAAGAATTTTCAACTTTCCAAAACGGCTCTTCTGAATCGGGCCGATGTAATTTTGGGAGGAGTTGACCTATCAATTGTTAGTATTTAAAACAAGACTGACACATTTTTTTTGTGTTTCCAATAGTAGGCTTCTGATTTCCAGCTACACCTTTCGAGAGATTTTTCCTAACCTTTGTTTTCCAAGCCTTTTTTAGAGGACTACTTTTTCTTGACGTCTTACGAGACTCCAGAAGACAAATTTGGGACTATCTATGAGATTCCTTTTATAGCATTTCATAGAACAGAACTGCGCATGTCATTGACGTGCTGTTTACGAATTGCAACAAAGAAGTAAGAAACTTAATTAGGCTCCTAACACATAATCAAAAGAACTAAAAAATATTGAAACGTTTCACCATACCTATTCAATATCATAGTCTTTGGCTGACGATAGTCCACTTAACAGTTATGTATTTAGTTGCCAAGCCTTTGATTTGGAGTGAGGCTGAAGGTGACCATGTTGTGATAGAGACCAGTATCTAGTTAGCATAACAGCAAGGCAATTTACATTTGAAAACCAGCAATGAATGGCCTCTCAGATGTTTTCTCATTGCCCTGGGGTAAACTAGATTGAAAATTTACTTGCCTTTCATGTGAGGGTATTGTCTTTCATGTCAGTCATGTCATGGAATTTGGGTGCTGCAAAGTAAATGTTGCAAAGTAATCAACCCAACATTGACGCACACTAAGAATGGCATTGAGAAAGAACTAGAGTGTTTGTTTTGGAAGGGCAAGTTTCGCTGACTCTGGCGAAAATTGCGCAAAGCATTTACATAAAGGATATTTGAAAAGTAATCTTGTTTTTGTCTCACAATTGCTTATTCTTGGATGTCTTATTCCAGATCGCACTTTCTTGTGATTTTTTTTTTTCCACATATCTTAACTAATAAGTGCCCAAGCTTCAATAGGCTTCCTTCTTCGAATAAACACCCACCCCCTAATGATATTTCATAATAGCCGTTTGGCACTGAGGTGAGTTCATAAAGAATGATTCGTTTCTCTCGGACTTTGTTTCATTACCCTGGGGTGAATTAAACCGAACACGTATTTTAAAAATTAATTGGTTGGTTGTTTTAGGTGCAGTTTTAGCATGCGATGGGTACCGTAGTCCGAATGGTTAAAACAGGAAGTGAAATGACCCGATACGTTCATCACCCCCGCTAATTAAGAATCACATGGAGGACAAAAAAGAACTACACTTCTGAATATACGATGTCGTTTGAAGTTTTAACGGCGAAATTCGATTAAAAAAGATAAAGAACGTACACACCTTTCAAATTATAGCTTGATTTTTTTCGTGGTTCAGCACGTTCGCCCAGTGTCATACCTTGTGTCATGATACTTCTCACGCATTCTGATGCATTTCGCCCCGGGGTTAATTTCAAAAGAATGGCTTCTCAGATGTTTTCTCGTTGCCCTGGGGAAAACTGGTTGGAAAATTTACTTGCCTTTCATGTCATGGTATTGTCTTTCATGACAATCATTTCATGGAATTTGGGTGCTGCTAAGTAAATATTGCAAAGTAGTCAACCCAACATCAACGAAGACCAAGATTGGAATTGAGAAAGAACTTCGATACTATCTACCTAGTTAAAAGGTTCATGTACTTTGTGAAGACCTCGCGATGGTCTCCAAGATCTGTCGGAATCAGAAAGATTGGCAAGGAATATTTTTACCTTTTAGAAGTTTACACGTGTTTTGTGTACTGTTCCTTCACTTACAACGCACACACCGACAGCTAAAGGCCTAACACGAAATCATCACTGGAGTGTTTGCTTTGGAAGGGCTTATTCTTGGATGCAAAGCATTTCTAAAAGGATATTTGAGAAGTTATCTTGTTTTTGTCTCATGGTTGGTTTTTTGCGAAGATTGAAAAGATCAACAAGCTATATTTACTTTCTGCGTCGACTGCCATGTTGCATATCTGTTTCTTTGCTTTAAATGTTCTCCACGAATTACATCTTGTCAGTGAAATGGTATATTTTCGATTCAATTTCGTGTTTAGTTGTCACAGTTGCCTATGCTTTCCCCGATGAAATAACATTTGCCGGTAAACAACTTAAAATTACGACACAATGTGCAGTGCACTGGTCTAGCAGAGCTCGAGGTCATGGGTTCAAATCCCGTGTAGGCCTGAATTTTTTCTTCAGACCTTATTTTTACTACTTCTTGAGTAGTGTTCATCATTGTAAAGATCGGTTTCAGATTTATTCCTTAATCTGCAGCTGCCATATACGATCTTGACATTCATAGTGATGATATTGTTTTGTTGTCTTTGTAAGAAGTGATCGGTCGAAATTCAAGCCAGTCCTTGAAATAATGAATATTTCTGTGATGCGTTTGATAACTGTTGACTTCATGTCAACATCACAGACTCTATCTTACACTCTGGTCACGAGAAAAAAGGTTGAAAATTGCAATTTTTCCTCTCCTTTCCTTAAAAACGCAGCTTTGGTACAAATTAAAATCCTAATTATGCAATACTAAACACATCCATAGGGTGAGATCACATCCATTTCGCCTAAAAAAAGCTTTCTTAATAAAAAAATAAAAATGCCAACCTTTTGCAGTGAATTTCTTTTATTTGACTCATCTCTAATGACTTAAAGTGCTGAGCTGAATTGACAAAATCTTATTTTGCTAACTTTTCATCAATCAAAAGATAATAATAAGGCCAAAAACTAAAAAACAAATGAACAAAACAAAACACGAAAAGAAAAGAAAAAAGCTGGTATGAAATGCAAGCGAAGAGCCAGGTCAGATTGGTTATCTCATTTCTTGCGGAGGCTCTGCAATCGGTCGTTGGGGAATTTCATGGCGTCTGGAGTTGCATAGCGCGTGTCTGGCTCCAGTTGCTGTTGTAAGCCCTGATAGTTGGGTTTGGTGAAGATGGCAAACTTCTGGTTCTTTGATAACACGATGGCAGAGGAGACTCCTTCACCTTTCCCGCTCTGGAAATAGGGGTTCACATTTGCGCAACTTTCTTCAAACCACTGCTCGAAATTGTGGAAAGAATAGAACCCAGATAAAGGAGAAACAACATTCATAAAAAATAATAATGTACCAGCATCTAATCTCTAAGACACTAAATAAAAGAATAAGCTCGTTTGCAGGAATGCCTTAAGAAAAGTTTTGAATCTTATCTGATTTAACTCCTCATTTGACATGAACAGGACGAAACAGAGCAATGACGTTAACTGGAAAAAAGTGCTCCACATTGTCACGAAACATGAACCGTTTTGTATCGAAGGGAAAGAGAGGAGTATGGGGACAAGATAATCAGTTTTGACACCAGATGTCTGATCTCCGTTACCCTTTCAACAATCTGATCGCTTTTCAATATCTCTCGCGCCCGTCACTTAAATCAAGTGTCTGCATGATGTATATATGATATGTTTGTGATTCCTTATCAGCATGAATCTATGTGAAAACAAGCTCTATTATTTATCTCTGTCTAAGCGACTATGAAGATTATTCATCGGGAATAATCTACTTTTTTAAATAATGACTCCAGGCCCGAGTTCACTGACGGCCAATTTCAAACCGAAATAACTGAAGGAAAAAAAAATCATCTTCTATGATCCGACACTATCCTTTAATCCATTTAGAACTGATTGCTACTTACTGCTGATTTCTTCTTGTTGTCTTAAAAGAATTGTAAGACAGAGCAGAGCGTTTTTTTACAGAGAGCGTGAGCTATTGATTAATGAAAAGCTTATGTATTTCAAGCACCTTGTTGGTTCCACCGTAGAAGCTATGCTCGAACAGAAGGATTCCTTCCACTTGGTCCGGAACGAGGAACATGGAGCCATTCACACCTGAGATGTTTATATCTGCTCCAGGCCCGACAACCTTGTAGTTAGATGGGCCAGCACCAGCTTCTTTGTCATTGTTGTTTGCGTGGGTGTAGAAGATCCAGGTTCCCGAACTAACATCGGCTTTTACGAAGGAAACACCATCCTTTTTCAGGTCCTTCTCTGAATTTGAAAACTCCATGCTCAAACCACTTCCTTCGTACAACTTGATGGACATGATGAATCAAACCTGGCATAGATTGACATGGAAATAACAAAACAAATGTAAATGAATTTACTATGATTGATCACTACGCATTAAATCCCGTTTTTGCACAGACGAAGCTTTAAGGTTAAAATTCTATCAATGATGGTAATAAAAATCTCGAGAAATGAGCGGTCGAAGAAGGCAAGAATTTTCAACTTGCCAAAACGGCTCTTCCGAATAGGGCCGATGTAATTTTGGGAGGAGCTGACCTATCAATAGGTAGTATTTAAAACAAGACTGAGACATTTTTTGTGTGCTACGCCTTCCAGGAGATTTTTCCAAACCTTTGTTTTCCAAGCCTTTTTTCTTCTTGACGTCTTGCGGGACTCCAAAAGACAACTTTGGGACTATCTATGACATTCTTTTATAGCATTTCATAGATCAGAACTGCGCATGTCATTGACGAGCTGTTTACGAATTGCAACAAGGAAGTAAGAAGCTTAATTCGGCTCCTAACACATAATCCGACAAAAGAACTAAAAAAAATATTGACACGCTTCACCATACCTACTCTATATCATAGTCTTTGGCTGACAATTGGCGCTTCACAAGATATTAGTCTTGAAGGACTAATTCTCAATAAGATGTTGCTCGATAGTTTAACAGCAAAATTGAAGCTAATAAAAACGCTCGCGAGTTTTATCTCTTTGCATGCCTTCAGGTAGGAGATGACAGCATTGTAGCTCGTACCCTCGTGTTTTTTTTTTCACATTTCTCAACGTATAAGTGCCCACACCCTAAAGATATTTGACCAGAGAAATTGGTTGGTTGTTTAAGGTGTATTTTTAGTATGCGATGGATGCTTTAGTCTAAATGTAAACAAGAAGTGAAACGATCCGATAAGTTTGCCACTCCCACTAAGAATCAAAGGACAAAAAAGAACAACACATCTGAACATACGATGTTGCTTGATGTTTTGAAGACAAAAATTCGATTTAAAAAAGATAAAAACCACACACGCCTCTCAAATCATAGCTTGATTGTCTCCTGGTTTCACCATAGCATTCCAGCACGTTCTCCCTCAATAGCCATTTCGCAATGAGGTCAATTGCCTTTCATTTTTTTTTTTTTTTTTTTTGGTTATTGTGTATTTAAACATGTTTGTTAATTTATACATTGCAAGCAACAGAAATTATGTTTACCATATAAATATGATTACACTGACAATTATATACTCACTTGAACTAGAATAAAAGTATTGTGTCAGTGATCATAGTATTTGTTGGACACTTTCTACATCTGTATTGTAAATTTGCAGACCTGAGGGTTCAACACTATCTGGGGTAGATCTTTTTTTTTCTTTCATGTCATGGTATTGTCTTTCATGTCAATCATGTCATGGAAATTGGATGCCGCAAAGTAAATGTTGCAAAGTAATCAACCTAACACTAAGAACGGCATTGAGAAAGAACTTTGCTACCATCTCGCCAGTTAAATGGTTCATGTCCTTCGTGAAGACCTTGTCGCTAAGATTTGTCGGAATTAGAAAGGTCGGCAGGGAATATTTTTACCGTTTAGAAGTTGACAAGTGTTTTGTGTACTGTTCCTTCACTTACAATGCATACGCCCACAGCTAGGCCTAACACGAAATCATCACCTGAGTGTTTGTTTTGGAAGGGAAAGTTTTGCTCACTGTGGTGAAAATAGCGCACAACATTTACATAAGGCATGTTTGAAAAGTTGTTTTGGTTTTGTCCTACGATCGCTTATTCCTGGATGTCTTATTTCAGCTCGCACTCTATTATGTTTTTTTTTTGTTTTTTGTTTTTTGTTTCACATTTCTAAACTAATAAGTGCCCACGCTGTAATAAGCGTCGTTCCCCAAATAAGCACTCACTCCCTAATGATATTTCACAATAGCCATTTTAGAACGACCTGAGATATTCACCACTCCCACTAAGAATCATAGGCCAAAAAGGAACATCACTTCTGAATATACGATGTTGCGTGATGTTTTGACGACAAATTTCGGTTTAAAAAAATGATCACCTGAGTGTTTGTTTTGGAAGGGAAAGTTTTGCTGGCTGTGGTGAAAATAGCGCACAACATTTACATATTACATGTTTGAGAAGTAGTCTTGCTTTTGTCTTACGGTCGCTTATTCCTGGATGTCTAATATCAGCTCGCACTCTTGTGTGTTTTTTTTTTTTTTTTTTTTTTTTTTTTACATTTCTAAACTAATAAGTGCCCACGCTGTAATAAGCGTCGTTCCCAGAATAAGCACTCACTCCCTAATGATATTTCACAATAACCATTTTAGAACGACCTGAGATATTCACCACTCCCACTAAGAATCATAGGCCAAAAAGGAACATCACTTCTGAATATACGATGTTGCGTGATGTTTTGACGGCAAATTTCGGTTTAAGAAAAGATAAAAAACGCATACGCCATTCAAATCACAGCTTGATTGTCTCCTGGTTTCAAGAGAGCATTCCAGCACGTTCTTCCAGCGTCATACCCTATGTAATGATATTTCTCAAGAGCCATTTCGCCATGAGGTTCATTTCAAAAGAATGACTTCTCAGACGTTTTCTCATTGCCCTGGGGGAAACTAGGTTGAAAATTCATTTTGAGACGTGCTTTGTTGTTGTATATGTATTTTTAGCATGCAATGGATACTTCAGTCTGAATACAAGCTAGAAGTAAACAACCCGTACGTTCACCACTCCCACTTGGAATCATAGAATAAAAAAGTGTCTGACAAGCGGTGATTAACAAGATATCCTTCAAACTGTAATTCTAAATACAACGTAGCTCGATTACGCGGATAATTAATCGCGTGACCCTGCCTAAATCAAAATGATCAAAATGCAACCTACTTAGGATACAATCTTGAAATTCTCTCAAAATAATATTTTATTCCAAGCGGGATACATTATTAAATTCGATCAATGTCCAGATTTTGCGTGATCGGAACGTGGCCAAGTTCTTTCTCTAAAATTCTTGGGGATTCTAGACAATGTGTCGCTAGCTCTCCGCTACTTGAGAACTTGGTTGAGCAGCTTAAAGCTAAAAATCAGCGCCTTTATGTGTTATCGAAAAACAAATGTCGCGATTACCACAGTGGTATTACCACAGTGCAAGAAGTTTTCCTACGCTCGTCTTCTTTCAGTTAAAAATTTAATCCAGCAATACCTTAACGATTTCGCATCAAATTGAACTGAAATCGATTCTATTTTACACGGAAGTCTGAATTAATCAAAGAGGAAAACAGTGGAGTCGAAAGCATGCCAGAAGTTCCCTAACGAGAAATAGAACCGCGGTGCAAGAGATTTCTGTATCATCATTGATGTTTGCTAATCAGATTAATCAGATTAATCAGTCTAAACTAGGACAGAAACAATTCATAGGCATCGTATTTCCCAGCCTGATTACTTAAATAGTTTAAGTTTATGGGCTGGGTGTACAGTGAAAGCTTATAACCCCCGGTAAGAAATGTTTTAGTGACATAACCATATATCATTTGTTATAGCTGTTTGTGTGAGAGATTTCAATTACACTTCACACCAGAGTAGGAAAATCTTAAAACGAAATTGATGCACAAACAGTGTCTTGGAATTGAAAGGAAAGTTCTCTTTTCCTTTTCCTGGATCCATTTAGAACTGCTTTTTGTTGCTATGGGCATCAGGCATAAATCGACAAACCTGATGGTAGCATGTACTTGGCTAAATGATCTTACCCATTTTAGACCTACATAAATACCATAACTAGCCAGAAAAACTACTCTCATAGTAAATTATTCCTAGAATCCGCCATACGATTCATTTATTTCAGCTTTGTAACTTCATGCCAATAATCTAATTTAAGTGTTTTTACCATAAATGAGGGTGACAAGGGTCAAACCTATTTATCATACGGTATAACATGTGTTCTTGTTGGGTAAAACTTGTATTCCATGTTTTACACGTGACCACAAACTTGGCTGAGACTCGTGATAAAGAGTCCTGATATTTTTGAAGCTGTTTTCTCTGAACCTCTAAGCGATTCCAGACGATAGTACTTGAGATAACAATAGAGCAGCCTCAGGCTGAAAAACAGCACAGTTATACTCTACCAAAATACATATGGCGCGACTAATTGTTTTAGCCATTCAAAATGATCTGAAAGTCGGTCTTCAAAGCTTCTACGTATGTTAAGATCGCATTAGCGGTACAATGAGACTCTCGGGGAAAAAAACCTAACTGATTCCCTCGAGAGCACACATTAAGCGTGTACACCAATTATAAGTCTGAGCGAGGGTGTCAAAGTTAATTTCGATTCCTTAGTAGCGAAGAAAGTTTGACTAAGAGGTACGATCCATATATATTTTAATATATTCTTCATCGTCATTCATGGATTGTACATTGAACTCAAATTAAAGAATCCTCGCTGAAGTGATGGTCATCTTTCGGTAGAAAATGTAATTCAACAGTGAATGTACTGTCATGCAACAAATAGTAATAAACTCGATTTTACCTTACACGGAAGTCCGAGGCAATAAAGAGAGCAAAACAATGACATTCCTTCGCGCAAACTAGTACCACAGTGTAAAGGAATTTGAATACACTTATCATCTTTCGGTTGAATTAGTAATTCACAATTAGTATGCGATTTTGCAACAAAAAAAAATGAAATCGTTTGTATTTTACGCGGAAGTCCTAAACAATGACAAAAGGAAGACATTTCCGTCGACAATATGCCAGAAATTCGTGAACGCGAAATGGAGCCGCAGTTCGAGATATTTCTGTTCGTCCCCCGGATATATCACGAAGTACTTAAAATCTGGCCCCTCGGAAAACAGATAATTTTGTTTTACTTTCAGTTCTCAATGTTTCTCTCTACTTCGTCCGGGGAAAGAGTAAGGCTCCCTTTATACATACATATACATATACATACATATATATATATATGGAGATGTATGTTACTCGTATCAATCAGATCGTACCACAGGAGTGTGTTTCCACCAATCAGGGCGTCAGGGTATTGATGATGTCAATCGTGTCATGGAATTAAAGTAAATGTTGCAAAGTAATCAGCCCAACATTGACGCACATTAAGAATGGTACTGACAAAGAACTTTGATCCCATCTACCCAGTTAAATGGTTCATGTCCTTCGTGAAAACCTCGTCGCTAAGATTTTTCGGAATTAGAAAGGTCGGCAGGGAATATTTTTTTCCCATCTAGAAGTTAACTCGTGTTTTGTGTACTGTTCCTTTACTTACAACGTACTCGCCGACAGCTAAAAGCCTAAGACGAAATAATCACTGGAGCGTTTGTTTTGGAAGGGCAAGTTTTGTTGACTCTGGTGAAAATTGCGCAAAGCATTTGCATAAAGCATACTTGAGTAGTAATCTTGTTTTTGTCTCATGATTGGTTTTTTGGCGAAAATTGAAAAGATCAACCAGCAGTATTTATTTTCTGCCTCGACTGCCATATTTCATATCCATTTCTTTGCTTTAAATGTTCTCCACAAATTACATCTTGTCAGTTGAACGATATATTCTTATATTACTTTAAAATACCACTACTAAGTTAACAAAAAATAAAATTGTCTACATCTTTGTTAATTAATTAATTAGTTAATTAATGGTTCCTGGAACAAATGTCACTTTTCTTAACTTAGTCTTGTTGCATTTTAGCCTTGTTTTGAAGTTTTCAAGTTTATCTAAGAGCCTTGATGAACTGTCAAGAGAATTCCATAGAATAGGGGCCTTGAAACTGTTCCTTCCAAGATCTGTTTTTATGAGTTTGATTTCCGCATTTCTAGCGGAAGCTCTGCCATCAGTCGTGAGGGAAACTCCGCGTCCCTCGGACTTCTATACCACGGGGTTTCACATCTGGGTGACTTTCTTCCAACCACTGCATGAAATTGTGCAAAAAAATAGCACTCAGATAAGAGAAGAAACAACTTTCATAAGTTATAATTCGATACTATCATCTAAGCTCTAAGATGTCTGCTGTCGCTAACAGTCAGGCCTAAAAGTCTCGTTCACAAGCTAACTCTAGAAAAGTCTTACGAAGTCTGTCGCGTATCAAGCGAACATGAGGTGTTGTGTACTGGAGTTTGGGGCCGAAAGGGCCCTTCAGTGAAATGTCTCAGAAAAATTTTTTATTTATTGATTTACTTTTTTTTTTTAATGAAGTTCCTTGTTTGGTTGTATGCCTTTAGTAGAAAATAAGTAACTTTTCTTTTGCTGTACCAATTTTTTTCCTGCCGTCCCCCTTCGCCTTTGTTTTGGCACACTCTCGAATCAGCGAGATAAAAAAGATAGATCTGTAAGGCGTCGGCTTATGATAATAATCGTCATTTACACTATGAGTTTTATCGTTATTTTTGTTATTGTTATTTTTATCATTAATCTTATTCTTGTTATTAATCTTCATATTACTGATATTTTCATATTGTTATCGATTCTGGATTGATTTTCCATCTCGAGGTGGAAAACCTTTCTTAAACATATCTCAGCGTCGAGGAGAAGCATTTTTTTAAAGCAATTAGTTGGTAGCGTGCAATTCACATAACCAGTAAATAATCTCTTGATACGACTCATTCCTTACCTCAGGTACCAGCACTAAAGGAATTTCCTTGTTTTTGGATGGTACTTCAATATGGAAATTTTCAATTCGGTAATATGTAGCAAACAAACCCTGAATAGATTATGAATGATTCAAGAATACGATTATCTACCTTTCTTATTGTCGAGACCAAGAAGGACACAAAAACGGTTGCACTTGTGTGTGCGGGCGAACCTTTCAAATACCATCTTGCCGAGGTTTCCAGCGGCAAACAACCTATAAAATAGGATTTTAATTAACAATAGACTTAAAGACGCAGACAAACTACAGGATCACCACAGAGACCTTTTTCAAGATAGAAAAATCCATATTTAGTAGTGATAGGGATTTTGAGAAATTTTTTACCGCCATTGTCGAATCACCAATGAAAAAATTAGTTGGGCTGCAATCTTTCTGCAAACAATGGGTTTAAATATGAACGATATTTTTTTACTTCCTCTTGAAAGAAGCTCAGGTTTTTTTAAAAAGTTCAGCAGTCTTGAATTAGTGAATGTGGGTTAAGCCCTCGTCCTCAATAGGAATTCCTGCTTACTTATGCATTTCCCACGTGCCCCATTTTTCGCGATAGCTTGTGATCATGAAAAATTAAACGTCAACCTTAAAAACGAGCTGCATTCAACTGTCTGTGAACGGTCAAGCATACACCCCGTTGATTTAACAAAACGACAGTGGTTTTGCGTGGTCTTAAGCCTTATCGACAACGATATTCGTCAACACAGTGTCAAAATTTGTTGTGGACTCACTCGGCTGTGCCTCGTTTCTACCACAATATCAACCTCGAAATTTCCGAGTCATCCATGTTTGAGAGCTAACTAAAGCATTGTGTGACACGTTGAGGCGAGCAGCGTTGTCCATACTCTTACCGATAACGACAAATTGGCAATCAAATTGCAACATTTCTGCCAATTGAGGAAAAATTATCTCGTAAATTTCAATTTAATTCTGCTAACTTACTCCTTGTCCACCGATGCCAGTTGGAGGTCTGTAAGCGCATCCTCCGTCCCTACAAAAAAGTAAAATAACAGTTTTTCTTTTTTAATCAGTATGAATTTTAGCTATTTTTAAGTATCATAGAGTAGGACATGATTGTAAATTTTGTAAATTTTCATTAATAATGTATGATTTTGTATGATTTTAAAGTGCTTTGAGCAGAGCGCTATATAAATAAGGTTATTGTTATTATTAAATTATCCACAACATCAACTGATCAAAGCTTTATTAATATTCCTAACCTTGTACGTCGCAAATGAGGAATTTACCACGTGTGAACACCAAAGTCCAGTGAACGAATGCCAAGCATTTGAGACCCAACTGACTACTATGACCTGAACGTGTTGGCAACCCATCGTTGTTGATGAATTTTATATAAGGACCGGGTCCGATCATTGGCTCTATAGTCATGAACTCTGCAGTTCCTTTCCGTTGCACCAGGTAGGATGGTATTATCCTATCGAGCATGAAAATAATGGAAAGAGGATTACGAAAAAAAAAAAAAAAAAAAGAAACCTTAAAGACTTTCAGAACGTTAAACAGGGCATAAGCAGTGAGGGCAAAGAACGCAACAGTCGACGTTCATTGCTGCTTATACTTCCATCAAGGATTGCAAAAGAGACATATTTCAGTTATCAAAGTATCAGTTATGTTGAAGCTTTTGGAGTCCGGGCACAGACATAGGAAGTGACACCGGCTAACATCACAAAAAAATTTTAGAAAGGAAGACAGAAGAAAAGAGGCAAGCCTTTAAATAATTACCTTGGGAATTCATCAAAGCCTTTGATGCCTTTGACTTTTTTTATAAATATCTTTCCCAGCTTCTGGGCGATGGCCTGGGTCTGAACGTCCTGATTTGAGAAGGAAAACACCGATTTTTGTTATCAGCAGATTACAAGAACCCTTTAATTGTCTTTAACGAAGAACTCTGTAACATACAAGGTTATTCAAACTGGCCTGCGGCGATTCATCAACGAAGCCAGACAGAAACGAGCTTTAAGATTCAATATGAAATTTTTTTTTTCTTAAATGGCAGAGTTGACCGAGCGTCACAGCCTAGACAAAACTGGCCACTCACAGAACGCACTGTATTATACCAAAGCGAATATAATGGTTGAAAGTATTTAAACGCATACCTTTTTGCACAGGTCATACGTTTTTCTTAGATCTTCGTTTATGGGTTCTTTCGCAACCCATCCATTTGGAGCTGGAACGTCGAACTGCTTCGGAAAGTTGGTAATTTCTGCTCTATAGCAGTTTCTCATGCCCCCCGTTCCGATAAGCTCTTTCAGGTTCATGGTCATCTCTTGTTGGGCAATTTCCCACTTCCCCTCGAAGGTCGACTCGTCGACTGTAAAGGATTGGATGAGAAACGTATCTATTGAACAAGAAAGAAAAGCCATGTGAATTTCATTCACCACAACATAATTTAATCGAAAAAACAAAATAACAAAGAAAATTGGAATATAACATGAGAGAAAAAAAGAAAAAACCAACCGGAGGATAGTTTAATATCTTTCCCGCATCTCACCATCTGAGCTAAGGCACTCTCAGGCATTTCAGTTTCCTTGAAATGTTCTAAAGGTAAACATACTACGTCAAACCATAAATAGCATTTTAAAACGTTTAATTAATGAGCAGGTTCCCATGACCATCCTACTTTCCATTTAGTTTCCTGGGTTGGTGCTTGGTCATTGAATTTGCCGCCGAACTTTTCTTCATTTGGCTAGTACTTAAACTTTGCCAATGAGGTATGGGTAAAATAAGAACCAGCAGTTGTTAATCCAATTCCACCAGGTATTTTACGAAAAGGTGTGCAACACTAACCTTGTAGAAGGATGCTCGAAACTGGATCCTGTTTCGACTTCGTAGATGGATGAGACGTAAGGCTGCTCTGTAACCCAAGGAAAAAATAAGTTGGCTTTTTACTTTCACCAGTCGGCGTGAAGATTGTCTCCCTGTTTCCTCTCTAAGAATATTAAAAGGAGATGCTAGCAGCGTTTTCGCTTAAAAAAGGTAAGGGCGAGTACCTGTTGGAACTGGTTCTTGCTGGGCTGTTGGCAGAGGTATTGCCAAATTCTTTGTTTCAATCCATTCAGCAGTTTGCCTAGCAAAAAAAAAAGGGCACAAGGAACACAGATAAATCATTCTTACTCAGTGTGAGAACGAACAAAAACCAAAAACCATAACGAACCGCATTCACCGCCTGTGGATAACAGCTCTTATTCAAATAAAATTGAACAAGTGAATCGGAGTGAATCTATTTGAAATGTAGTCATCATCTGCAAGAACTTCAAACGAAGGGACAGTTAGGCCGGTGAACAAATTTCATAGAACTTCCTTCTCTCTGATGATTTAAGAGGAAAATCTGAATACTTAGACCACCTCAGTCGGTTTTTCTCAATCGTTGTCCGCTTACACAATTTTTTCTTTGGTCGTAGTGTTACTACTATCCCATGTTCTCGTGCACTAGCTGCGAATGATTGCTTCTTATCCAACAATATCAACGTTTTCGTGTAAGTATTTGTTCAATAACAGCCTTGGGTTTATAACTAAAGTTTTGTTTTGAAGCTCATCAGTCGCACACGAGGGCGGAAGCTTTCGAATAATGTCGCCACGCTTTTGCACAGTGTGGTATTGCTTGACGTATGCAAACGAGCGTTCTGTGTAAACAAATATCCCAGTGCAAATTGTGTTTAAATATCGACAGTAGGAAAAGCATACTGGAAACTAATCTAGAGCGATTTTTCAGGGAACAAGCGCACCCTTTCTGTGCGGGTTTGGTCTAATATCATGTCAGTTTTGCCAGGTATTTGTATTCTAGTCGTTTTTTATCAATACGGATCATCAATCTCAGCGTGAGCTGGGAAGATTTTGCATATCTGTACGTATATCACTAATCAAGGCTGCTTGTTTGAGTGAGAGAGTCCTAGCTAGGAGAAGGACCTCCTAATGTATATATTTGGCAAAAGTACGTGATATATGCTTCTTACGCACTGAAGTCAACATGGCGAAGTTTCTCGCTGAGCACCATGTGACACCCCCCCCCCCCCATAATCCTCCACTCCTCTCCCCTAAGGAAGTAAATAATGACTTCTTCCTCGTTTCAGGCTATTCTCACAGAATTATTTTAAATCCACGGCAGAAATGATCTCGGAGTATCTTCATTTAACGGGGTCTAATGATTTATAGTACACGTACCCAGATAAATGAAATGAGAAGGGAATTTAGCAATGGACATTCCACTAAGCGGCTCTTCTTTTCTACTGCTTCCAGATGGAAGTCTCAGTGTTAGTTTTTTAAGTACTTTCCTCAAATATTTTTCTTAAAACGTGAGTCTCTTTTAATGTTTCGTAAATGTCTGCTGACCAGAAGAATAGAAGCAAAGATCATTTTATCTCATGACATCATTTAAGATAGCGAATTTGATAAAATCGGATTTTGTCCTGATTAGAATTAGTATGGAGAGCATGCGTGCTGATGTTAAGTTGACAAGGGTGAATCAATCACTCTGTTTAGTCAATACGAGAGCATGGTGGCTATGGCAACTGACCCTTACACCTATTACAATGCATTTTCATGATGAATTGTTCTCGTTTGAATTATCTCGTCTTGCCTTTCGCAATAGGCGCTTGAACTTCCTGCGGTTTGTTTTAGTGTTATGTTGAAAAACATAGCGATCTATTGTCTTTATCTCATTCTCTATAACACTTAAATGTCTGCTGTTTAGAAGAGTAACGAGAAGTTGTATAGTTCTGCTTAAAACAGGAAAGAGACTGCCTTAAGTGTAGACGTTTTTAAGCACACTTCTGGGAATTATACATCAAAGTAATGAAGAGAGGAAAAGGAAAGAAGAAACGGTTGTTCTTGAAAGATAAAGCTGTCGATTATACGAACTTGCATTTCAACCGTCTATGGACAAATTGTAAGTAAACCACGCTTTATTGGGTTGCAGTCATGTTTTAAGGTATTAAGAAGAAATGAAAAGAAAGGCCAAGTAAAGGTAAATCGATTGTAGAAATACCAGGCCATCCTTTGATTAATTTGTATGCATTCTTGCGCTGATGTGTGAGCAAATTTGGTTGTCTCAGCCAGCTAAAAGACTTTTTAAGAGTCACTGTTAGCTTAGTTCTGTTTTTCACAACTTAGGAGTTGCATCTATCACTTTAACTAGCCCAGTCACCACTGATTTTCAATGATTACATATTATTGCACCGTAACTTATCACTCTGCCTGACGACAGATTTTCTTGTTTGCTTCTCTCGTTGGCAATTCAGGTCTAAAACGTCCCTACCTGTGAAATGAGAGTCCTAAGGCTGAGCTGGAAATAGCATGAAAATTTAATTCTTAAAACCATCGCGACTTTAAATTGCACTAAATGGTTAAAAAGAAACTGTTTATTATATGTTGTGAAAATACTAGCCATCTGTAATTTTGGGCACATTTCTTATATTATTAATTTAAGACCTTCGCTGAGGGACTCTGTGAAAACATCTCAATTTTCAGTATAGCGAACAAAATATGAGGAAAGCGCTTTAACTCGCCACAGCATAATTCCCTTCTCCGCGGCAAGATTTCTCGTCTTTCCGCGGTGGCTGGAGCTGTGTTACCTCGAGCTTACGATTTCTATTGAGGATAATCCGTTCAATTACTACATAATAGATTCGCAGAAAAGATAAAATATTCCTGATAAACATGACTGGTTTCAAATTTGTTTGTATCTGAATTTAGTTTTATTTAGAATTGCCCTGATTTTGTGTTTGAGACAAGTGATCTTGTCTGAAACATGGCTAAAGTAATGTGTGCTCGCGAACTTATGAAAAACAAACCTAGGTTTATAACTGAACTGTGGCTTTGACACTGAGTAAAGGTTGCACGAAATTTTGAGACGATCATATGTAAACCACTTTTTGCTGTAGTTCAGTAGTATTGTTGTATGGCCTGTGAAGAAAACTCGAGAAATCGAAGTATATTGACCAAAAGGTGAAGCAAATCTTTAATCATTGAAGCGAGGGATAATGAGACACCTTGCTCGAATAAGCGACACCAGCTCAAAACTATTGGGACGATCCTGAGATCATAGAAAAGGAGAGAAATGTCCCTGCCACAATGTTTCATCCGCAGAACTACAATTCCAATATGGATGTAAGTTGTTTGAACACGAATGCAATTGCGTCAGCCTTGTGGCACACGTAGGCCACATGTGTTTATACGCAGGGCTATTTGAAGGGAAGCCTTGAATTTTAACTTTATCAACATTTTCGCAAAGATATAATGGCTGTGGAACTGAGTAATCGCGTCGTAAGGGTTAATTCTGATAATTATCTGAGATTAGTACCTAGCTCTGGCCTCTTTCTGCACAACGAAAGCCAATATTGAGGAGCTATTTTGACCCATCACTATTGAAAATGACTCTATGACCATTTGTTGCTCTCCTCTGCTTTCATTTTGTACAATGAATCATTTTTGAAAGAAAATATTCATGGCTTTCTAGTTTAGAAATATTCGAAGATTTGCAAAAATGTTTTGCGCTACACTGCGTAAACATCACCGAGGGGTTGAACTCTGTAACAACACGAGTACAATGTCTCAAAGTCGTATATTTACCTTTAGGCCTTCCTCCAACATTGCGCAAACAATGCGGTGCAATCACCCACCGTTGCGGCAAAAAAATTTCTCTCCCACTGCTTCTTAAAAAGGCCCAAATTGTCATCTCTGTGTTGGGAGGTTATATCGTAAAAATGGTCGGCATCAAAATCCTGGAAGGGGTTGTCTTGTTTTCAGAGCAATACGGCTTGACCGTGAAGAGCCTGAGCACGAGACACAAGGAGTGGCAATACCTTTTCATTTAAAATGCAAATATGGCGGATCACATGGTTAATAATTGTCAAACGGGTTGTGCGAAAGCGAGGCACGCTAAGCCTTGCTTTTTTTGTTTTCAAAAGATTTTCTCGAAAAGCGTCTCACATTTTTCCTTTCATATAATTGATCGTGTTCCCGTAAGCCACCAGATAAGAAGAAAATCTTTCATGGGAGGGAAATGGTTTGCTTCTCAGCCTTCGCCTTTGAAGCGTGTGAGAAGAGGAAGCGTAGAATGATAAGTGAACCTACACCGCTGAACGCAATGATGGTAATGTGATAGGTTATAGTTGCATGTAAGAGTTATAATAAACTTCCGCATGTTGTCGAAATAGTTGACTTTTGTAATTAGAGTTTGCAATAGGGATGGAAATGATGTGCAGAAGTCACAGAAAAAAATTAAAAAATTTAACTACAAAAGTCAACTATTTCGACACCATGCGGAAGTTTATATAACTCTTACATGCAACTAGCAAGCAGTGCTAGCATCTTTCATCATTAAGAGGCGAGGTCAAGATGAATAAGTTCACATTTATTAGAGATTTCGTTTTCCCTGGCTTCATGTTGGTTGACAAAGATGATGTCACAAAACACAGCGACATCCATGACAAAGATTGACATAATTCGCGCTCTTAAATACCGTTTGTGGCAGCAGGTAACCAAAAAAAGAAAGTATCAGGTGTAGGGTCAGAGTTATTTTGTTGTAGTACATTTAACTGATTCTACAGGAGCCAAAAATGTGCCGAAAGTTTTTATTTACGAATTCTTAAAGAAACTTGTCAGCGAAGATTGTTTAGCAGGTGTGTTCTTCACATCTGCACAGGTTTTCTTGATTATTTTCTTTGCTGGAGAGGGTTGTTTCCCGTTCTCAATAGGATTGGTTCTTTGAGGTTCTCCATCACTTGCATCGGTCGAGTCAGTTTCCATACTTTCATGGTAACTGCAAAACAAACAAATCACAACCGAAGCTTTACTTGTGGTGCTCGAAATACTGTTCCATTAGTTCCTCGTGAAAAGACGACGTCTAGCAAAGCATCTTTAAGGAGTCAAGAATTTTGGGGCAAATTTTGCATTTGCAGACAAACTAAGACATGAAGGCATATTTAGACAGACTGACAGATAGAAAAATGAATAAAGGGGGTAAGTTTCTAAACAAACTGTGGCGCTGTATCGGTTGTGGGGAGGAGGGTGGAGGGTATTGCTGTATCGGAGGGGGTACCGTAAGATAATTTGATTTTATCAACTTGGGGTGATTACGAAATTGTCCACCGTAAAGAGATTTATCAGCTGACGTATCGAGCGTTGGCCCTTCGTCAGAGCAAATGAAATGATTCGCTCCGACGAAGAGTAAACACTTTAAACTTCAGCTTTAGAAACTCTTTACGGTGGACAATTTACATTATAAACGCAGTTGATAAAACCAAATTATCCTGACAGGAAGAATGACAGACAGGCAGACGGAAAATTGAACGGACAGACAGAAAGACTGACGTATACACGTCAGTCAAGCGGACACGGGGTGTTGTGTACCGGAGTTTGGAGCCAAATGGGCCCTTAATCTTACTCTTGTTATTAATCTTCATATTACTGATATTTTCATATTGTTATCGATTCTGGATTGATTTTCCACCTTGAGGTGGAAAACCTTTCTTAAAAATATCTTAGTGTAGAGGAAAAGTATTTTTTAAAGCAATTTGTTGTTAATGTACAATCCACATAACCAGTTAATAAACTCTTGTTTTTGGATGGTACTTCAATATGGGAATTTCCAATCCGTTACTAGTAAACAAACCCTGAACAGATTATGAATTATCCAAGAATACGATTATCTACCCACCTCCTTGTCGAGGCCAAGAAGAACGCAGAAACTGTTGCACTTGTGTGTACGGGCAAAGTTCTCAAAAACTATCTTACCGAGGTTTCCAGCCGCAAACAACCTATGAAACAGGATTTTAATTGACATTAGACTTAAAGATGCAGAAAAACTGCAGGATCACCATGGTGACCTTTTTCATAATAGAAAATACATTTTTAGTAGTGATAGGGACTTTGAAAAATTTTGTACCGCTATTGTCAGAGCACCAATGAAAAAATTAGTTGGGCTGCAATCTCTCTGCAAACAATGGGTTTAAATATGAAGGATATCGTTTTACTTCCTCTTGAAAGAAACTCAGGTGTTATAAAACGTTAGTCTTGAATTAGTTAATGTGGGTCAAGCCCTCGTCCTCGACAGGAATTCCTGCATATTTAGGTATTTTTTACGTGCCCCATTTTTCGCGATAGTTAGTGATCATGAAAAACTAAACGTCTACCTGAAAAACGAGCTACATTCAACTGTCTGTGAAAGGCTAGGTCAAGTACACCTCCCCGTTGATTAAACAAATCGACAGTTGTTTGGCGTGGTCTGTATATATCGACGACGATATTCGTCAACACACAGTGGTCAACATTTGTCGTGGACTCACTCGGCTGTGCCTCGTTTTTACCACAATATCAACCTTGAAATGTCCGAGTCATCCATGTTAGAGAGCTGATTAAGGATTGCGCGACACGTTGACGCGAGCAGCATTGTCCATACTCTTGTTAACAACGGCAAATTGGCCAATCAGATCGCAAAAGTTACTGCTAGTTGGGGAAAAATTACCTACTCTTAAATTTCAATTAAATTCTGCTAACTTACTTCTTATCTACCGATGCCACTTGGAGGTCTGTGAGCGTGTCCACCGTCCCTACAAAAAAGTAAAATAACAGATGGGTCACACATTTATATACGCTAGATTTTTTTTCTTAATGTTTGAAAAACAATCGAATTGATATGATTGTGATTCATTGATATTAGTACTTATTATGACTTATGGTCAAGATCTACTACATCGACTGATCAAAGCTTTATTAATATTCCTAACCTTGTACGTCGCAAATTAGAAATTTGCGACCTGTGAAGACCAAGGTCCAGTGGACGAATGCCAAGCATTTGAGACCTAACTGACAACTCCGACCTGAAGACGTTGGCAGCCCATCGTTGTTGATATATTTTTTATATATTCTATGTCTGTCGAATTTAATCATTGGTTCTATGGTCAGGAACTGTGTTGTTCCTTTCTGTTCCACCAGAAAGGTTGGATTTACCCTATCGAGCATGAAGATAAAGGAAAGAAGATTAAAAAAAAACGAATAGACTTTCAAAACGTTAAACAGGGCAAAGGCAGTGAGGGCAAAGATTGAAACAGTCGACGTTCATTGCTGATTATACGTCCATCAAGGACTGAAACAGACATTTTCAGCTATCAAATTATCAGTTATGTTGTAGACTTTCGCCTTTTGGGGTCCGGGCACAGACATAAAAAGTGACCCTGGCTAACATAATAAGAAATTTCGTAGAAAACTTTGTGGTTATTCATCGTGGTGAATAACAATAAAAGCTAAATTTTTCGTTTGTCTCACAATGTAGTCACGTGTGATGTAGATCGCGACGTTTCGACTGCATATTGGGAGTCTTCTTCAGGCGATGGGGTCGACTGGTCATGCGTGATGTTATAAAGCATGATGCTCTGCTGTGATCAGTATGCAGTCGAAACGTCGCGATCCACATCACACGTGACTACATCGTGAGACAAACGAAAAACTTAGCTTTTATCATAGGAAATTTTTGAGAGGACTTCGGAAGAAAAGAGGCAGGCCATTAAATACATACCTTGGAAAGTTACCAAAGCCTTTAATATCTTTGACTTTGTGTCGAAATATTTTGCCCAGCCTCAGGGCGATGGCCTGGGTTTGAACGTCCTGAGTTGAGAAGTAAAATACTGATTTTTATTATCAGTAGGGAACAAGAACCCTTTCATTGTCCTTAACAGAGAACTCTGTAACATACAAGGTTATTCAAACTGACCTGCGGCGATTCATCAACGAAGCCAGAAACGAGCTTAAAGATTCAGTATGAAATTTTTCTTTCTTAAATAGCAGAGTTAATCGAGCGTCACAGCCGAGACAAAAATTTCCACTAACAGAACGCACTGTATTATACGAAAGCGAATATAGTTGAAAGTATTTAAACGCTTACCTTTTTGCACCAGAGTTCACACGTGTTGTCTAGCACTTTTCTTTTGTATTTTTTTGCAACCCATCCATTTCGGGCCAGAAGGTTAAGTTGTTTCGGAAAGTGGGAAACTACTGCTCTGTAGCAGTACCTCATGCCCCCCTTTCCGATGAGCTCCTTGAGGTTTATGAGTACCTCTTGTTGGACAGTTTCCCACTTTCCCTTGAACGTCAACATTTCGACTGTAAAGGCTCGGATCAGAAACGTATCTATTGATAAAGAAAGATAAGCGATGTGAATTTCATTCACCACAACAAAATTTGATTTAAAAAACAAGGAAAATTGGAATATGACATGAGAAAAAGTTCTCTTGTTGTCCTTGTTAGATTGTCGACAACGTATCAAGCAAAACCAACCGTAGGAGACTTTAATGTCTTTCCCGCATCTCACCATCTGAGCCAGGGCACTCTCAGGCATTTTAGATTTCTTGTAGTATTCTGAAGGTAAGAATACTGTGTCAAACCATAAATAGCATTTTAAAACGTATAATTAATCATTAGGTTCCCATGACCATCCAACTGCCCATTCAGTTTCCTGGGTTGGTGCATGGTCATTAAATTTCCCGCTGCACTTTTTTTTATTTGAGGCTTTGATATGCATTTATTAATAAGTTTTGCCAATAAGGTATGGCAAAAACAAGAACCAGCAGTTGTTAATCTAATTCAACCAAGTATTTCACGAAACGGTGTGCAACGCTAACCTTGTGGAAGAATGCTCGAAACTGGATCCTGTTTCGACTTCGTAGATGAATGATACAAAAGACTGCTCTATAACACAAGGAAAAAAGAAATTGATGTTTTTTTTCTTTCACCAGTCGACCTCTGATAATTACCTTCCCTGTTCTAAGAACTCCTCTTTAAGAACATCACAAGTAGATACTGGCAGCGTTTTCGCTTAAAAAAGGTAAAAGCGAGTACCTGTTGAAGCTGGTTCTCGCTGGGCTGTTGCCGTCTTCTTTGTTCCACCCCCTTCTGCAGTTTGCCAAAGTCTTGCAAAGAAAAGCACATAACGAACACAGATAAATCATTTTAACTCAGTGTGAGTACGAACAAAACCAAAAACCTTAACGAACCACATTCAGTTCAAAACGTCAGCGCACCCTCGGACGTAAACATGGGATATGATGCGTAAGTAATAAGATTGATGCGCTAGTAAATTCAGGGTCATACTTAATTACCTGTACCTTGTGAAGTTTTTTTCTTCTCGTCTGAAACAGCGGAAAAAGCAAATTTGATCACATCAAAGGTTAATGATTTGACTGAAATTTGGAAAGACTTGTCTGATAGTTCTAGCGAGAGTTCTGGGCCATGCGAACGATTGCTAACCGTTCATCGTTAGTCTTCCAACTACAGAGTTATGCTTTAACTTTCCTTTTTTTTAGAATTAAGGCAGTCCTAATTTTTCCTCCTTCTAAACTTTCAGCCCTTGTAAAAACAAACAGCTTGAATTTAAGCGGAATCAATCTGTTGGGGCCAACTACGTTTGGCAAAATGAATACGACACAACATATTTCATATTTCCGGACATATAACATTAATTCCTCGAGGAGGAATAATGAAATCAAACTATTACTTTATGAGATTTGTATTCTATTTTAAGTAAAAATTTGGGTAGTTCGTTTTCTTTCGTTTAGTATGGCAGCATACGAAGTTTGATTAGGGACGGATTCAACCAATTTCTGACAGGAAAAATCAGAAAGTGATCCCTTTTTTTCTGCTGCGTACTTTCAAAATAGAGCAAGCTGTTTTATTCCAATCAGAACACTCGTAATATCGAATCCTAATCAAAATATTGTTTGACATGTAGCTATAGCAACTGCTCCTCAGGAATGATTGGCATTTCTTTCTAATAATAATTATACTTTCTATTTCGTTTTTAAGCCCAGTATTTCGCTGTTGGAGGTTGAATATCCTGTGGTTTGTTTTTGATATCATGATATAAAGAAAACCTATCAAAAATATTATGAATATTCTGTTTTAACTGTTCACGGATGTAGCCCAAAGTTTAAATCTTAAGGCTGGATAAGAGACTACCACGATTGTAAAAATTTCGAGGAGAGCGTGTTTGTTGAATACATCACACTTGTTACGAATTTCCCTGTCTGTCAGGATAAACGAGAAAGAAGGATTTAAATGTTCCTTCGCATCGATCAAGCCGTCTGTGGATAAGAGCTCTTATTCAAATCAGCACTGAACAAGTGAGTCGGAGTGAATCTATTTGAAATTTAGTCATCTTCTTCAAGAACTTCAAGCAAAGGGACAGTTAGGCCGGTGAGAAAATTTCATAGAAACATCTTACCTCTGATAATTTAAAAAAATTGTTTCGTTCATGGCGAGGGAAATTTGAATACTTAGACCATCTTAGTTGGTTTTTCTCAATCGTTGTCCGCTTACACAATTTTTTCTCTGGCCGTAGTGTTATCACCATCTTATGTTCTCCTGCACTAGTTGCGAATGATTTTGAAATGTCCATGATGTCGACGTTCGG